CATATTTTTGCCGATACATTATCTTTCATTTTGATGTTACCATCCTAGTGGGTGTGATGTGGTGTCTCATTGTGGTTTTAATTTGCATTTCCCTGATAACCAAATGATGTTGAGCATCTTTTCCTATGCTTTAGTAAGGGCATTTGTATATCTTCTTCAGGAAATGCCTATTCAAATTCTGTACCTATTTTTAAATTGGGTCATTTGTGTTTTTATAATTGAGTTGTAAGAGCTCTTTATATAATTTACATACAAGTCCCTATTATATACATGATTTACAAAAATTTTCTTCCATCCTATGGATCATCTTTTTGGTTTCTTGATAGTCTCATTTGCAGCAAAAATTAAAGAAATTTTGATGATGTCTAGAATTTTTTTCTCCTGTTGCTTGAGCTTTTGTGCTATATCTAAGAAACTACTGCCTGACATGAAGATTTACACCTATGGTTTCTTCTAAAAATTTTATATTTAGGTCTGTGATTCATTTTGAGTTAATACTTGTGGATGGTATAAGGTAGGGGTCCAACTTCCTTCTTTTTCTGGTGGTAGTATAGCTGTGCCAGCTCTACCCATTCTTTCAGTTGTTAACTGTAGAAATTATAATATGCATCCCTAATTTGGCTCTCTATAATGGTGGTTAGAATCTCTCTCCTCTCACAAACATAAGGACCTTTAAACATTGGAATTCTTATCTACCCTTGTTTTGAGTTATACATCGTAGTTGTCAAATATTTTGGTTTTATCTTTTTTTAAACCTACAAATGAGGTATAGTTTTTACTGATTTATGCAATCATTGTCCTTAGTTGTTTTTTATTTAATTGTAATTTTACTTAGAAAAAAATTCATTCCTTTTTACAATTCAGGGCTTTTCTTCTTCCTGAAAGAAACTAAGGGGATTTTAGTAGTTCTTTTAGTGAGTCTATTGGCAATGAGCTCTGTTTTTGCTTACCTGAAAATATATTTTGCCCTCAGTCTTGAAAGATAACGCACATTTTCAAACAATTCTCGGGTGCCAGTTATTTACTCTAACTCTTTGAAGGTATTATTTCAGTGTGTTCTGGATTCCATTATTGCTGTAGAGCAGTTGGCTGTCATTCTGAGAGTTCTTTTATGAATAGTCTGCCTTTTCTCTGGCTCACTTCTTGTTGTCTGGTGTTTTGTAGTTTCCTTGCAATAGACTAGTCCTGCTCTGCAGCTGTGTGTGTAACAGCGAAATTGTAAACCCCAAGGGGAAGGACTATATTCGTAATGTTATCTTGAATAACATGTTTGCATCGTCTCTTCTGCCTAGCACAGTGCCTTGTACATAGTGCATTTCTCAGAGATTGTTTGGTTGAATTATTGTCAAGATTCTGTATATAGTCCTTTTCCTAAGAGAGTGTACTTCAGAATATTATGAAATATTTAGCAAATGCTTAGAAATGTTTGTTTTTTTTGGTTTGTTTTAAAAGAAGAATGAGGTTACCTGTAGCATTAAAAAATTTTTTTTCTCGTATGATTGTGGTATTAGTAGGAGGAGAAAAAAGTATCATGGTATTGCATAAAATTGACTGGGTTATGTTTAAAAATATAAAATATTATAATATCTAACATTGACTGATATATTAAACCGTTACATTTAAAACCAGAATATTTTGATACAGGGTTGTATAGTTTCCTGATTACTTTTTCTTTTAACTGTAAAGACTCATGACTCATTGTTATAATATAGGTCTGGAGAGTGTGGTAGAAGGATAGAGCAGAGAGATAGTCTCTTCCTAAAAAGAGAGGATAGGATCAATGTATTTGTCCATCACCAGGTAAGAATAACATGAGAGTAAAGCAGAAGGTTGGGATTTTCTTCAGAATCCAGAATATGTTATTTTAAATGTAATTCACTTGCATTATCAGGTTACAGCAATGCCCTCTTATATTTTTCCCATACAAGCTGAAATCTGCCTGAAACCATTAGCTCTTCTGTGCTCTCTGTGAATGCTATAAACCCTGCCTCTGGTTTTTAAAAGAACTACCCTCTGCTGGTTTCAGATTTCATCTTTGTAACTTAGATGTGGGCTAGATGCCATTGTAATAATTTGCATTTGGGATTTGTGGCTACAATTAGTGTAATAAAACACATTAGGAGTTGGACCTACCTCTAACTGACTATGTTTCATTAGGGCACAACTACATTTTTAAAGTGTTAAAATTGTTAACATTAATATTTTCTGGACTCATCTCTAAGATATAATGGTCCTCTTTTCAGATATTCATACTGTCAGATATTTAATTCCTTGTTCATTAATTCATGTTGTGTGTGTGCATTTGTATGCATGTGCATAGACTAAACTTTATTCCTTAGTTTTGAGAATAATGAATTCTGAATGTCAGGAAATCGGATTTTACACTAGAACGCAGATGTTGGTGATGGTTGAACTTAGAATATTTAAGCTTGATGCTTCAGAACTGGAATCAGACCCAGGTCCAATAATGTAGTGACTAGAACAGCAGTCACTTATTAAAAAGTGTTATTTCTTGGGCCCCCTCTCTACTTTACCTGAACCACAATCTCTTGGGTATAGGTACCTTTTGTACATTCAAGTTTGAATTGTTTTCAGGTTTGTAGGAGTAAATGCTAACCTGATATGGAATTGGTTTTTATCACCAATTGTTGATTTTCTCTGTAGTTGGGAAATAATGAGCTAGCAAAGAGAGACAAGAAAGTAGCACATTATCAGATATAAGTAGCAGCAAAGACTGGTGATCTCTGCTCTCAGAGGTTTCAACTGTGACATGGAAAGTGAGACAGTCACCTGATATATTATTCATACTTTAGAACAGTATTCTTTGAGATATTTCAAACTCTTTGAGGTCATAAAACAAAACATCTTTGCAGAAGTTTGATTAAATGGTACTGATCTTTGAAAAGAAATTATAACAAGATGTTGTATAAAGTAAAATGTGAAAGCATCTATCTTTTCCTGTTCCACTGTGCTGGGGTTACCTTTGTTTATTAAGTTTTGGGTGTTTCTTTTAGACCCTTTATCTGCTCACGAATAAGTACGTGTTTACATATATTCCTTTATATGTTTGCATATTTTAAATATTGATATATATGCAGATTGCCCGTCTTCCAAAGGCTATAACAATTTATACCCCCATCATCAAAGGAACATTTCTTGTTTGGTGATTTGCTTACTGATTTCTTTTGCCTATTTTAAAATTTGGTTGTTAGGTTGTTTTTTGTGTGGTCTAGGCATTTAGCCTTTTGTCTGTTATATTGAAAATAACATTTACTTATGGCTTTTCAAAGGTGTCATAATAACTTTCATCTTGCTTTGTGCCAGTTCTCCTGAGTCTTTTATGTGTACTATTTCATCGAGTCCTCACTGTTGTCATCTCCACTTCATGGATGAGGTGACAGTGAGGCAAGGAGGTGAAATAGCTTGTTTGAGCACACATGACTAAGTGGCAGAGCCAAGATTTGAATGTAAAAGACTGATTCCAAAGCATTACATTTAACCTTTCCACTATATATTTATATATTTCTTAAGTGTAAAAAACTGAAAATTTCAGATTTGATATGAAGCTCATTTTTAAAAAATAAAGGTATTTTTAAGAGGCTGTGGTGATTTCAATACACATATTTAGGAATATAGCACAATATAAATAAGATAAATAGATATAATACTATAATATATTAATACAAATATTCCATAGACATTTGGGGATATTTGCCCTCCTTCTATTTAGAAGCGACCTTCAGTGGCATATTCCCCTTTATGTTTTTCTCCTACTGATTTCATAGTAGCCTGTTAATCTCCCTCTTGCCAATCATTTTACTTTAGTCCATCCTTAGCACCGCTACCAGAGTAATCATCGTGAGTGCAGTTTTGGTCCTGTCAGTCACTCCTTTGTTTGGAAACTTTCAGTGCTATCACATTTCTTGCTGAATGAAGGCCAGGCTCTTTCCTTAGAGCACATTTGAAAACTTGTGCAACTCTGCTCCACCTTTACCTTTCAAGAATTGTCTTGAGCAACTTTTCTTTTTTTTAAAAAATATATCTTTATTGATTTTAGAGAGAGGAAAGGAGAGGGAGAGAGAGAGAGAAACATCAGTGATGAGTCATTGATCGAGCCCACAACCCGAGCAGGTGCCCTGATGGGGAATCGAACCCTGATCGCCTGGATCCTAGGTCGACACTCAACCGCTGAGCCACACCCGGCCGGCTGAGCGACTTTTCTTGACACTTCCTCCATACTGCAGTTAAATGGGATCATTCATTTTTCTTTTCAAACCACATTCTCTGGCTTCATACTTGGATCAGTTGGTATTTTTAATCAGCAGAAGAAGCTGACTGGCTGATTGAGCAGATGAGGAGTTTATTTAATGGTATTCATGCCTCACAGAATTTGCGGGGAGAGCTGGAGAACCAGGGTTAAGGTTAAGCTTGCAGGTAATATGCTTCAAATCATCTGTGAGAACTGTCACTCTCCTGCGCCACCAAGTGCTGGAGGAAACCACCACTGCTGCCCAACTGCTGCCACCTCTGGGCTGGAGGTTGGTTCGGCACCTCTGCTGCTGCCACCCTGGAAAGCTGCTGCCTCTGCAGTTGCCTGTACCAGTCCCAAACGGCAGCTGCACACAGCCCACTTTCTCAGGTGTCTCACTTCCAAACTGAAACCTGCGCAGGTGCTTCTGATGGTCGGCATCATAGTTGCGGAGTGTACGTGGATAATTTGAGGTCTAAAAGTTATTTTGGGAGGTTGGACTTACAAGGTGAGAATTTTTGGGAGTATAAAAAGATTGTGCAGATGCTGGTTAGAAGCTTGAACATGTTAAATGTCCACTATAATACTTCTGCTTGTATTTCTCCATCATTGTTCATCTCTTAGTAGATGACAAATGGACATCTATTTTGTTATGTATCTGTTTTTAGAAAATAATGTTTGAAAGTTTGATCTGTTTCAGATAAACTTAAAAGAATAATTATACTAATTTGACATGATTTTCTCTTTCCAGATCACTCAACTTCAAGTGGCACATTAACTTTTAAGCCTAGTCGATCGTCGGTTGCTCTTCCTACTGCCCATGTCATGCCGTCTCACTCCAGCGCTTCCGTTTCCAAACACAGGGAATCATTGACGTCAGACGGCGCAAAATGGAGTACAAGCCTCCTGCAGACATTGGGAAACCACAGTAGGGGGGAGCAGGACTCCTCACTAGACATGAAGGACTTCCGGCCCCTCCGGAAATGGTCATCGTTATCCAAACTCACTGCCCCGGACAGCTGCAGTCCGGGTGGCATAGCGCACACTGAAGAGTCAAGGAGTGGTCTGGAAAAGACTGGGAGAGGCAAGACTTTAACATCACACCTGAGGACGATTGGGCCTAGCTGCTTACATGATAGTATGGAGATGCTTAAGCTAGAGGACAAGGAGATAAATAGAAAACGGTCATCAACTCTGGACTGCAAGTATAAATTTGAGAGCTGTAGCAAAGAGGATTTGAGAGCCTCTTCTTCCACTCTTAGGAGACAGGCCTTAGACATGACATACAGTGCCTTACCTGAAAGCAAGCCCAGTATGACAAGCTCAGAGGCTTTTGAACCTCCCAAATATTTAATGCTTGGTCAACAGGCAGTAGGTGGAGTCCCCATTCAGCCTTCTGTGAGGACACAGATGTGGCTTACAGAGCAGTTGCGGACAAATCCTTTGGAAGGTAGAACTATGGAAGACTCTTACAGTTTATCTCCTTGGCAGCAGCAGCATATTGAGGAGTTTCCACAAGAAAGTGAAACACCCATGCAGGTAAGGCTCAATATCTAGGGATTGCTTCCCTCCAGTGGATGTTGTGAGTATAATAATAGCACATGTGCAGTAAGCATATGACAATATGCCCATAGGCACAGATTGCTCTGCTTTTTCTTCCCCCTGGAAGTAAATAAGCATAGATGCTGTAAATGCCCAAACCATTGCATTGATGGACAAAACTTAAAAAATATTAGAGGCTGATTAACATGAAAACTTGGTTTTTACTTTCTAATTTGTTCAATGGACATAAAAATAAACAAAGCAAACCCTTAATTTTGAAGAAACTTGAAACAAAAACAAAGGATCTGGCTTGATATCATAGAACAGTAATTTGGGAATATGAGGTATTAGATTTTGTTTCTGTTCTTCAAGTTTAGAACCTAGATGACTCTCTGCCTAGCACTTACTATTTAATATCACTGGGCCTCAGTTTCTTTTTCTTTTAATTGAGATGTAATTGACATGTTAGTTTCAGGTATACAGCATAATGATTTGATATATTTATATATTGCAAAATGATCACAATGTCTAGTTTAGTTTACATCTACCACCATATTTAGTTAAACATTTTTATTCCTATGATGAGAACTTTTAAGATTTACACTCTTAGCTACTTTCAAACATGTAATATTCTGTTGTGTACAGGGTGAGGCAAAAGTAGACTTAGTTTTCTGAATGAAAAATAATACAATAATTAATAAGTAATAATACAGGAATAAACTCTGTGTTTTGAGTACTCACAACTGTAATCTACTTTTCCCCTACATTTTCTTTAGCTGTTTATCCATTGGTGGACACTTACATTGCTTCCATCTCTTGGCTATTGTAAATAATGCTTCATTGAACATGAGGGTGTGCCTTTCCTTTTGGATTAGTGTTTTTGTTTCCTTTGGGTAAATCCCCAGAAGGGAAATTGCTGTATCATATAGTAGTTCTATTTTTAATTTTTTGAGGCACCTCCATACTGTTCTCCACAGTGAGCGTACCAGTTTACATTCTCACCAGCAGTGCACAGGGTTTTTCTTTCTCCACATTCTTCTTTTTTTAAAAAAAAAAAATCTTTATTGATTTCAGAGAGAGGAAAGGAGGGGGAGAGAGAGATAGAAACATCAATGATGAGAGAGTCATTGATCGGCTGCCTAGCTCGCAACCAGGGCATGTGCCCTGACCGGGAATTGAACCCTGATCGCCTGGATCCTTGGTGGATGCTCAACCGCTGAGCCATGCCCACCCGGGCTTTCTCCATATTTTTGTCAACACTTACCTCTTGTCTTTTTTATAATAGCCATCCTAAAGGTGTGAGGTGATGTCTCATTGTGGCTTTCATTTGTGTTTACCTGATGATAGTGATGTTGAGTACTTTTTCATGTAAACAAATTAATTCTATCAAAATTGCAAAATTTCCCTAGAGCAAAACTTTCAATTACTATTTATTCCTGCTACTAATAAAAATGAAAGATTAAAGGAATATATTCTGTGAAAGGATAAGATCACTTATCTAGGAACCTCACGAATCTGAATACAACCCAAACATGTATATAACCTAATATGCTGTAGTCACAGGAGAACCTTAACCACCCGTGTGCCACCCTCACTCTTGTGTTGAACTCCAGTTCTTATCATCTCGATGGTGTATATTTAAAGCACATAATTAGACAGAAGCATCATTATGACATCTGAATTACCAATCAGAAAAGACCAATTTAACCAAGCTTATTTGTGATTTATCAATTCCAGTGACTTAAAGATAAACACCTAATTTAAAAAATACTATCCTATTTTAGTTCTCAAATGCTTATTATAAGAGAGCAGGGATCAGGCAGTTATTTCTCCAGTTGGCGTCCAACACAGAATTGGAGTTGTCCAGGGGGCTGAACAACTGTTGTATTCTACTACAACCTGACGTAGGTGCAATAGGAAGGTAACTGAGAAAATGGGTGAGTTTAAAGGAATAAGTATTAATTCACCCGATTCTTTCATTCTGCTTAGATGAATGAATCTTTGCTGTGAACTAAGTTTTCCCCAACTTAACAGTGTAGCCAAGGTAGGGACCTTGAAGGTGCATTGTGGAGCAAAACTTACTTTTAAATCTTTCCAGTACATGGTAGGGGAAGAAAGGTACTAATGGACACAATTTGCACACACCCTGGAAAGTCCTACTTTTTTGATTGACCTTATTTGGGATGATCTCTTTATAGTGCCTTTAAGTTTTAGAGTAGAAAAATGAAGCTAGGTAAAGAAAACTCACACACTTCAGTTGCAGTGTTTAAATGACCACTTCTCTAATTCCCTTCTTGGACTTACAGAAAAAAATCTCAAATACCTTCTTCTTGGCGTGTCCAATACTATTTTTACCATTTTAAAAGCTCTCATCTTAGTTGTTTCTTAAAGACACTTTAAAACATTGAATTCCTTTAGTCTAATTTTTGCATAGAGGGGAGAGCCACAATAAGGATCAGCTCATTCTTTCATGTGAGTGTGTATGATTTTTAAGCACAACTGCTAAACTCTCACTGTGGAAAAAAAACACTATTTTGCAACTAAGGAAAGGAATTTGGCTGAGAATCACGATCTAACACCACAATAGGTTTATATAGAACTTGGAGTATTTTATCTCATTTGATCCTCACAGCCTTCTTCCCCTCTTTTTCCCCTCAGATGATTAATATTGTAACATGGAAGTTTTGCTCTTCTTAGGACTCAGTCCAGAATAATTAGTGAGTCAGCCTCATAGTCTTATGTACATAGTGTTCCCTGTCTCCATGGTTTTCCACCAAATCAGCCACAGTGCAGGTAGGTTAGTACTCAAGCATTTTCCTTTGTGAACGAAGAGAAGCCACCTGTGGATATAGCCTCCATGTGTAATGTTCACCAGTGTCTTTGATTCTTTCCTCTATTGCATATCCCACTCTCCCCAAAAGTTGTCTGACCCTACAAGAAGAGAAAACAAACACCAAAGTCTTGTTTTCTCTTTGGAAAGAATGTGTCTCTTTCCATGTCCCTGTTGCATTCCTTTTTTATTTTGGAGCAGGGAGGTGGGATAGGAAGGGAATGGAGGGGTGTGTACTTCAACACACAACGGTATCCATTGTATTTCTGTAAGCTCACAGTGGATCCAGGACAGTCGTGAAGAAGTGGTCTCTTTATTGAGAAAGTTGTTCATCCTCTCTCATATTCTCTAGGATGTTTCTAAGTTCTGGGTTGCAGGCATTAAAAACAGGAAGATAGAATTTGTGCCTATTTAAATCATTGAGGGGCTTATTCAGCTAAGATAAAAGGTTCCTAGTGATTTCAACATGTCACTGAAATATTTCTCTTATATAAATCAAAAACATAAATCAAGAATTTGATAAAATGACAAAGTTGAGTGACTTGGATTTTGTCTGACCATGTGAGAATGACAAAGTTTTAATAGAGTTTTTGTGTTTTCTGTTATATCCTCTGAAAAGAAACATTTTTATTTCCCCCCCCCTTATTTTTACACCCTGTCTTAGCTTTAATTTTTTAAATGTTTAAGATAATATAACTACATTGAAAGATGTGGACACTATGCCACTCTGAATAGATAGGATGGATACGCCATTGTGACACATTCATTAGTGAAAAAGCATATAAATGAATTTTGTATACATGTTTAATAAATAAAATTAATAATACTTGATTTTTTAAAAATCAACTTTCTAGTATTGGAATATGATTTTTAGACATTTAAAAGTAGCACAGTGCTGTTACTTAGAAGAGCAGATTTTTTTTTTTGGTAAAATTTATCATTTTTCCACTTTGCCATAAGACTTAAAAGTAATCAAAGGATAAGTAATAGCTAGGTAGAAGGAAATTCATTATTTTATGTAGGTCTGCCCTCTTGTGTCTGTACTAGGAAATCTTGATCTTATTTTATATGAGGAATGCTACAGAAAACAACCTCCAAAATCAAACTGCTTATGTTAGATTTTTTAAGATAATACACTCAAACCAATCAGTGTATTAAAGAATGATTTCACTGTGTTCAAGAGGTCATTTTAATATAAGTGATTTGCATTAAATAAACATCGTAAACCAAAATATAAAATGCAACATTAAACATTAAAAAATTAATTCATTTTTCAGACTGTGAATTAAGTTTGGAATTTATTCTACAATAGAGAGTATTTGAGCATTTGGTATTTAAAAAATTTTTAAATACATTATTTTATTGTATTTTACTCTTTATACATCATGATAAGCAGAATAAATAAATTACATTTAAAGAATGGGTTTTTGTTCTGCATTATGCCTAAGCTACAGTATTCTGTAATAATCAAATATAAGGTTTTAATTTCTATTAAAGGCAGAATGAAAAACAAAAAAATTTTTATTTGTAATTTATTAAGGAAAACCCGATATCTGCACAGTTTATGGTTTGAAGTTGATGTTGTGATGAACAATGTATTGAAAGGAATAGAACTTGTTATTTCAAAATTTCCACTTATTTTTAAGATCATGCAACTAATTATAGAACTTAGTTACTTTTTGCATGGATAATTGCTGACACCAGTGAGGTGAATGTCTGTCTTGTTATTTATAAGCTTTCCAGTTGATATTAGGGACCTCTAACCCATTTATAAGGTTTTGCTCAAGAAATCCTCTTGTATGTATGAGAGCCATTTCTTAAAGATCAGCAAACCCCCTCCCATCTCCAGTACCACTCAGGGATTCAGAAAATTTTAAAAATAGTGTCTCCATCATTATTCTGCTAGCAGCATTGGTGTTACAAACCAAGGTCAATTTTCACTTTTCAAATTCTTTTAGGAACTATATTTTAACAAATCATACAGTAAATTAAATGTTCTCTACTTCTTTAATAATGGTATATTAGCAATATGTCTTGAACTGAAGTTAAAATTATTGGGTTATACAGTATAGGTGTGAACCAAACTTCATTTTCAACTGAATCCCCTTAAATTACCAATTTTGGTTGAATATGTTTTCCGTTACCAGTTTTTACTTCTGTTTTTCTATGGGTTTTTGGAAGATATTTTTAAATGACTAGAGCAGAAAGAGAAAATGTATTCAGCAAGAAAATAATTAAAGATTACCATCTCGGAGTGTATAATTTAGTGAAGTAGGGTGGCCTACCAAATAAGTGTTTACCATCTGGTTGATTAAGGAAAAGCATATATTCTGTCATAAACAATAGTAAGACAAAAAGTTCCTTTCAAAATGTAATCAAAGAATTAGTTAATTTTGGAGAGATAATTCAAAATTTTATTTTTCAAAGCTTGAAATAGTATGTATATTTTTCTTTTGCTTGCCTACATGGAGTATGAGGACAGAATAGAAGACAACCTTTACAATATAAAGTCTTAAGATTTCATGATCCCAAAGATATACTATAGCAAGCTATGTACTCTAGCTCAGATAATCAGCTACAGCGCCATAAATTAAGGTTAGACTCTATTTTTTTAATGTATTAGTAATTATGGGTAACCACACTGCCAACTGTTAAATTAACCAGTAGTTCTCTATTGGTCATAATGTCTTAGAGAGAATCGATTTTATAGTTATGTACATGTACTAGAGTTCTATAATTATTTGAAAAATTGGTTAAGAGAAATTTTATTTATGTAAGAGTATGGCCTTTTTCCTCCTTGATTCTCATAAACTTCAAACTTTAGGGTAAGTATACAAAAAGAGTGCAATTTCTATTTTAAAATAAAGGTTTTGATAGTTACTAAGGAGACATGTGTATAATAATAATAAAGATAACATGAGGAATCAGTGGGCTATTTCAAATAATGACACCATTTGAATGATTACTTTGGTATTTGGTGAAGAACTAAAAAATACTTAATAAACATCAAAGAGCCTTTTATAGTACAATATAAATTACATTTACCCCAAATAGTGAAGCTAATGCTTTTTATATGAAGTGAACTTGTTAACAGTACAGTTTTAAAACTAAACTCCTAGTTCATCCTCAGATAAGATTTGGGATCAAAATTTACAAGCTCTGTTGCGGAAATCAACAGTTACATTATGCACACTTATAGTCATTTTAAAGTTAATTTTGAAAATAGAGCCCTTTTCACATTTACAAGATCCAGCAGATGAATACATTTGCTAATAATTTCTTCTTAATCTTGACCTTTGCATGAAGAATTTCTTCTACTTAGGAAGTGGTCTGCTTTCCCCTCTCGCTGGGATGACAGACTAAGCTGACGGTGGTAAGTTGCAGCACTGAAGATTGCAGCAGAACTTCAGAGAAGCATCACGATGATGCAGATCAGCAAGAGGCATATTAAAATAAGGCAGAAGTTGATAAATAGGTTCTGGAGATTTTGACGTGCTTGTTGGGGCATTTCAATGGTTGAAGCTCTTCTTATAGCAGAGCGAGTGAGGTATTGGACTTTCTCCATGACTCAGGAAGGCAAGGAAGTCTGAAGTTTTAAAGGATCAAGAGAAAGGTGAAAAGTAGACAGCCAAATGTGAGATCACTCTGAGGTAGCCTGGAATGTAAAAAAATAAGTGGGTTAGAATCATATATGCAACCTAACTTCTGAACAGGTAAAACACAAGTTCATATTAATTCATCTTCCTGGACATTATGTATGACATATAGTGTATCTGTAGTCCATATGTGTGTGTGCACACAGGTGTTTCCTAGTCTGTCCTGTCTTTTTTTTGTGTGAGGGTCACCATGATGTCTTATTTGTCTTGTGTTTGGAGTGTAGTAACTTCAGTCTTTGCTGCCTCCTCTCAAAATGAATAGAAATGTAGTTTGGTTTAGGGTGCACCTTGTTTTGGGGTATTGCCTTGGGCAAAAGTTCTTACATATAGTTTCATTAATCCTATAATTCTCTGTGAGCATAATTGTTATGACAATTAGTGTATTAACAGCTATAAAGCAAATCTCTTAAGAGATGCATGCAATAAATTATTCTTCGGATGTTGATTTTATTCCAAAATAAAATAGAACCAGTACTACGGGTTCAAATGTTTGTCATTCCTTTGTATGATTTTATAGCTTTGTAGAATATGCTATTTTAAGTAACATTTTAACAAGATTTGATATTAAGTAGTGAAGACTGTCAGGTTCAGAAGTCATAGTAATAAAATCATCATCTCACCATCTACCACAGACAGTAATGACTTACAAATGACCTGTACTTATTGACAGTGGATTCCATTTGCTTTCTTTCAGAGCTCCCACAAGCTGTTCTGCCTAATTAATTAATTAGTTGCCTAGTTATTTGTGCTAATTAATAAAAAGCAAGCAAAATAAAACTTATAGTAATACACCATTGTAGAAAAATTAGTTATATATTAAAAAGTAACGGCATTAAATGTCCAGAGATAATAGCTACTAAGACTTGGGGATATTTTGTTGTCAATCATGATACTTATATATAAATTTTGAATTAAGAAAAATTAGATATGGAATAAAAAAATAACCATAATTAACTGCCTAGAGATCATGGCTGTTCACATTTGTTGAAATATTATTCTTTGCCCAGCCAGGTGTGGCTCAGTGGTTGAGCATTGACCTGTGATCCAGGAGATTGAGGTTTGATTCCAATTCAGGGCACATGCCTGGGTTGCAGGCTTGATCCCTAGTATGGGGCATACAGGAGGCAGCCAATCAATGACTCTCATCATTGATGTTTCTATATCTCTCCCTCTCCCTTCCTCTCTCTCTGAAATCAATAAAGATATATTTTTTAGAAAAAGAAATATTATTCTTACTCAGGATATTACTGCCTTACTTAATTTTGCCAGATTTAATTTTCTCCCATCTCTATACATTCCATGAAAACCCTGCTCAACCTGTCAGCTCCATTTCTGACAGAGAGTAGTGATGGAGAGGGCAGAATGGAGAACTGAAAGAGTGGGAAAAGGGAAGAGATGGATCAGGCAGGATCAGTGAGAACTTGGCATTCATTTTTACAAGGAAACCATGTAGTATATGGTAAGATTCTGTAGTTTAAGGACTTCAACTTGGCTGTATTATGATTGGAATTATATACTAGACTGAGCTTTCATTTGGCTGGAGACTCTGGCCTCCTTCCATAGCATTGGTCTGTAGTGAGGAGATCCCAATGGCCAAAGTATCACAAACTATTCTTTTAAAGAGTTGGTAACAACCTGTGTTTCTCTAGTGTGTATATTATCTAGCACACATATATATATGTATATATGTGTGTGTGTATGTATATACATCTCAGCATATATTCATATATATATAAATATATATATATGCTATATATGATATATATATCATGTATTCTTAATTGTCCATCACCCAACACCAGTGGCTGTTACTTAATTTATCTATAACATCCTCTACTTGGAAAATGCTTAAACTTGGTATTATTTTTGTTTGGATTCCTCAGATAAAATACAATAGAAATAAAGGGGTTTTTTTTTTTGTTCTTTAAGAAAATGCATTTTAAGTTGTTTCTGCTTATATTTGCTTATAGTAGATACAGTGAATTTATACTGTTGGGTAACTGTGGGGAAGATTTTCTTTATTGCTTTATATATTTGACTAGCTGCCTTGTGTTAGGATATATAATAGTACTGTTAAGAAAGGAGTAAGAATAAGCATTGGCAATTCCTATTTGAACTTGCACTTTTGTGCAGGTTTAGGACTTAATAAATTGTTTAAAAGGCCTGAATTTAAAAATTATTTTGAGACAAACCATGGAAAAGGAGGAAGCTAGCCAGTTCATCATGAAGCATTATATATATAAGAGTCATTCCCTATTCTGACACTGATGAGTGGTGTGTCAGTCACATGAAACATGTCACCTTTCCATAAATACTTCATTCCCTTTTATGATTCTGTCGTTTGCACATGTTGTTCTGATTCTGCCTGGAATGTTTCCCCACCCCCACCTGGATTCTTTGCCAGGCAAATTTCAGTTGATCCTTAAGGCCCGGTTTAAATATCACTTCCTAATAAAACCTTCCATTACTCTTTAAAGTAGAATTGATGATCAGCTCTGCTGGTTTTCAGTAGGGCGTTAGTGTTACCTGTGTCAGGATAGCTATCAGGCTATGTTGTAATTTTGATTTACATGTTTTATGTCCCCAACTAGACTTCTAGTTCACAAGTAAAAGGAACCATGTTTATTTTATATTCTGGTACTTGGTGCATAATTGATACTACTTGAATAAATCAGTGAAGTTGAATAAGGGATTTTTATGATTTACTTTTATTTTCAGAAAATTGAAAATGATCAAAGATAGTGCCATGATGAACAGATTGACCAGTTAGAATAACAGAATTTGATAGTGAAACATATAATCCCCAAACACATCTCAAGTCTCTTCGTACTACCGATGAGGAAAATGAGGCTGAGCATTTACATTAGAGGATTACAGTTTAGATAGGTGAGTGGTTAACAGCATTAACTTGAACTGGACTTTGTACAAATGGGTATTTGGTGTTTGGAAGTACAAAGTGGTGTGCCCTAAAGAGATGACCTCTCTACTGATGAAAGTATAATGAATATACGTTGAAGACGACCTCATGATCTTTCAACAGCCAGCTATTATTGAAAAAGGATTCTCCTTGGAAGCAAATTGAGTATAAAAGAGACAGCCAAGGATGGTGGTTTATTTCTTGTCAGGCTTAGAAATGTTAAAATTTGAAAGTGATTTGGTTTTAGCATAATTTTATGCTGAAACCAAAAACAAATCTGCTTTACATGCTGAAGTGTTAGGTGTGTGCAGCCAATTTATTGGCCCCAGTTCCTTTTACAGCATAGTGTCTGAAAGTGTTGAGTCCTGTTCTGCTGACCTTCCAAAATCTGATGGTAATAAGCAAAACTCACTCATACAAGATGAGGCTTCCTGTTATGTGTTGAGAATTGAAAAGCTGTGTGTGGGAACAGCACAGTCCTCTTTTTGGAGTTGTCTGTGAACTTTATTACATCATAATGTCATGGTTGTCAGGTGTTCATCATTCTTTCTCTGCGATCGTAACCATTCTGAGTTTAGAACTCCTGCAGTGTCCCTGCCCCCCGCCCACTTTTCAGAACTAAGCTGTTTATAGAATAATATTTGGTGGAGAGCTTAGAAAAATAGTTTGCTTTTATTTTCATTTTATCTGATTTTTTTAGAGCATTCTTTTAGGATAACCAGAAATAGATTGTGTTGGGATGTTCTGAATTTGCATCTGGCTTAAACAGCCTTGGAGACTGAAATTGGCTCTTACTCTGCTCCCCCTTTTACAGGATGACAATATGTGTAAATTAGGTGTTTGGGACCAGAGGAGTGAGAACATTTAAAAAAGTAATTCATCACTGAAGCCCTAGAATTAGAATATTGAAAATATGAAAGATGTTTTGATTGTAGAAATGCCAGATTCCTGTCTCTTGAGTTACATGTGAGAGACAGGAAAGTGCCCACAGAGTTGCCTTGTGTGTCTGTGGGATCTGTAATTATTGTAATTTTTGGTGGGATGGGAGGAATAGTTAACTCTTTACTATTCTTTGTAGGATTTATAAAGTCTTTGGTTGTTTACTTTTTCTCTTTTGCTCAAAAGAAGGTGAACTTGGGAAGTAAATGCAATAAAGCTCAAGATAGTATTTTTTGAAGTGGAAGAAGAGAGAAACCACAGGCCACGCTAATCCTTCAACAAACGTGTGCCATGCTAGGCAACATTTTGGGTGAAAGGTACTACATCAGCTTCTGCAGGAGTCCTCACTTTGTCTGCAGTGAGTCATTTTCTGATGTAACAGCAGATGCATTCTTGTGCAAAGGGAACCTCAGTACACGTTTGTAAACGTTCAGTGGTCTGCTTTATGACTTGTTAGGCAGTTAATACTGTAATGATGTTGTATATGGTGAGTAGTCCTCCCTGCCTATAATTTAAGTACTTTTAGTCCTTTGCAGAACTTTCTCAACTTCAGTTTTTGGGGGCACACCCTCTGCTGAATAATAAACTTCTGAGGTTTTTAAATCTTTATTTGTGGAATTCAGACTTTTGCTTTCCTTTTATTTTTGTCTGCTTATTTATTCTTTTAGTAAATGTAGCCATATTTTGATAGTAAAGCAACAGACATTCAAATTTACAGCCTGACATACTTTTTTTTTAATCCTCACCAGAGGATATTTTTTTCCATTGCTTTTCAGAGAGAGTGGGAGGGGGGAGAAAGAGAGAGAAAAGGGGAAACATTGACTGGTTGCCTCCTGAATGAGCCCCAATGGGGGCTGGGAATCAAGCCCACAACGGAGGCATGTGTCCTTGACCAGAACTGAACCTGGGACCTTTCAGTGCTCGGGCCGATGCTCTAACCACTGAG